TTCAGGTCTGTGGAAAACCCGCCTCCTCCGTTTCCTGCGGGGTGCTGGGAGCCGGTGTCCAGCCTGAGGGATCACGGCGCGCCTTTCTTTTTGCTTCTAGAGAGAGTGTAAAGGAGAAAGCGAGGCGCCGCTTGAGGCAGTTCGATGTCGGAGACAAATTCTCCCGGTTGCCGCTGCGCAAAGCCTCTGTCCTCCTGCCGCTGATGGTGCGGGAGGGGAAGCTGCACCTGCTGCTGACGGTCCGGTCGCTGCAGGTGGGTGAGCCGGGCCCGGCCCGGGCCTGGTCCTTGTCCTTGTCCTGCCGAGGGACACGAGCCGGGCACCGGGACGTCGCTGCCCGGGGAGCTCTCCTCCCGTTCTGCCCCAGGGGTCTGCGCAAGGCCCGTCACTGCCGCACGTTGCCCCGGGCCCGCAGGGCTGGGCTGCTGGGGCTTGGCGTGCCGGAACGGTGCCCAGACCTGTGACAGGAAAAGATGGTGTCCAGATCAGAAAAGCAAATTTCAATCACTTACTATGACTTAAATAAGGAAACTGATAATACGATGCAGCTTTAATTAATGTGACTTTTCAGTTTGCTTTTAATACTACTCTCATGTATGAAAGGAAATGCAACAGCCTAAGTTCCCCAAAACTCTTATGCCAACTTTTTGCTTTCTCTTACAACTCTTTTTTCCAGCCTCTCCCATGCAACTGTCTGTATTCAGAGATTATTTACTTGTATGTTTTCCTGTTGCTGAAAAATGGAAGGTTTTTGGTGTCTTAGAAATTTTAAGACTAATAATTAGCTTCCTGGCTGATAAACTGAATGTAAATGGGATATTTACTGATCTTTGATGCAGAAGTCTATTACTATAATATACTTAAAGATATATTAATGTGTGTTTTAGAAATTCTTTTTGTGACCTTGAGTATTTTAATTGTACTGTTCAACTTGTCTGTGTAGATTAATCTTTCAGTCTCTTGTGCAAGCAAGATGACTAAATATGCAAATTTTAAAGTATTAAAGCAGAATGTATAGTATGAATTATACAATCCTGTAGAAGTGCTCTGTGTATTTCTGATAGTGAGGGTTCATGGATTAGTTTAGTATAGGCTCCACTTGTGTAGCTCTTCATAAGGCACATTTCTTCTGATCTGCAGAAATCTCTTAACCACCATTTCCAGCTTCCTTGAGTGGAAAGATAAATCAAACATAAAGTGATTCTGCAATATGAACAAGTGTCTGTGTGCATCCAAGAAGAAATTTGAAACTTGTTATATTTTAACAGTAATGCTTCTTTAAATTCTAGCTGAGAAGATCACCAGGGGAAGTGTGTTTTCCAGGAGGTAAAAGAGAAGCAACTGATGTAGATGAAATTGATACAGCTCTCCGAGAAGCCAAAGAAGAAGTGGGACTCCAGCCAGAGAAGGTGGAAGTTGTCTGTAGGCTTGTGCCTGGAATTGATAAAGTAAGCAATAAACTGAGTAAGTCAGCATATCATTAGAAAATAAGCTTGGGTTATTTTATTTTGTAAGGCTGGTAATGATCTTTTCTAGCCTGTAACTGTAAATAACCATAGCTTACAGTGCACAGACTGAGTTGCCAGCAGAGCACAGGGAAAAGATTCTTGCTCTTTATTTGATATTTGTGAGCCCACATTTGCTGTACCATGTCCAGGTGTGGACAGAAAGTGCTAAAGTGGCAGGAGTTTAGCCAGAAAGCTGTGAAGATGGTAAGGGGGCTGATGGACGTGGATTGTGAGGAGAGGCTGAGAGAAGTGGGTGTGTTCAGCCTGCAGAAGAGAAAGCTAGCAGGGGATTTGGTTGCTCTCTTCAAGCACCTCTTGAGTGATTATAGAGGAGACAATACCAGACTTCTTGAGTCAGTGGACACAAGCAGCAAGAAATGAAAGTTAATGAGATGCAAGGAAAATAGATTATCTTGAAAATTTGAATTACAGACAGAACTCACCAAAGTAAATAAGAAAGAGACTTGTGAGAGAGCATTCATGTTTTTACTTTTGTAGCAGATTGACAGAACTTTTAAACTGCTAAATGATTGTACAGGATGAACAGAATAGTAGTAAAAGCATGTTTAACAAATATAAAAATATTTAAAATTGATTAAAATATATTTAATATAAATTAAAATACCTTGCCATTAGCAGGACTAAATTGTATTACAGTTAAGAATATTTTGTATGTTTCTTGTACTTATTTTTTAACACCTGAGATGTTTTAAAAATAAAGAACATTCTTTTACTTATTGCAAACTCAGTGTTTGGGTGTTTGTTTTTTTTATTGTTTGTTGGATTTTTTTCCTTCTAGATGAATCACTTGGTAACACCAGTTGTAGGATTTATAGAGGATACATTCCAGGCCACTCCTAATCCAGATGAAGTGAGTCATGTTTTTGTTGTGCCACTGGAGTATTTTGTCAAGCCCTTAAATTACAACACATTGCCTTTCAAAACTTCCTCTGGTTATTCAAGTCGGATGCACTGCTTTATGTATGAGGACCATGAACATCAAATGTCATTCAAGATATGGGGACTTACTGCTCACTTTGCTGTATTTCTTGCTCTTGTAATTTATGGAAAGAGACCCACTTTTGAAGTTGACTATGATCTTAACAACTTAATTTCATCTGCTGAGAATAACTTCATGAATTTATATGCATCCTTACATGAAAGAAAGAAGAGTAATCTGTGAGAAACTGGTCTGGGAGTTAATGAAAGGAGGAAAAAGGCTTTTGTTTATTTTCTTTGTACCTATTATTTGTTTGAAGTTCACACTTAAATTTCTTCTGAATTGGGAACCTAACATAATTTAAGTAATATTTTTAATTTGACAAGCCCTAACTAGATTAATATAATTTTTAATCTGCTACAGACTTGCCAAAAGCACTTATTTTTTACGGACTTAATGTACAATTTTGGAAGGTCTGTTTCACTTCCTGCCTTTGTTTCGTGTGATCCAAGATGTTTTCTGTAGTTTGCCTTCTGCATAATGATATATTATTTAATTTTTGTGTGTTTGAATTAAGAGTATGAAAACTTTGGGGAGTCTGTCTGTCTTACTGTGTGGCATACTACATGTGGACAACATAATGCATACAGTCACTGAGGTATCTTTAAGCACTTCTGAAATGCATAATAAAATGGAAAAGGTGTCAGATGCTTTCACAGTCTTGTTTTGTTTTGTCTTGTTGGGCTTGTGGAGGGAATAGTGAGGCTTAATGAGTTTTACTACTCTTTCTCAATTTAACGTTTCTCCCAAGGAAATTCTGTAGCTTATGGAAAACTTGGTGCACAGGAAACAGTACTGAACGTTGCTCCTCAGCATCCTGTTAGTTTCATGCACTCATCTAGAAGGAGTCATCTTAAGGAATGAAAAGTGGATTTGAATTTGTTCATGAGAACAAAAATGGTTATACATAATTCAGTCTTAGCAGTCACCCTGGCAGTGTTAGATCCAAGGTCTTCTTTGTGCTGTGGATCCTCGTTTCCTCATTTCTGGTTAACTAGTATGCTCCTGTATGTGTATTTATTGGATTCTGTATTTGAACAGTTGATTATTCCTACCAACCATTGCATTTTGTATTTGTCCTTATTTAATTACATCCTGTTTTATTCAAAACAAATTGTAATGATCTTCTACCATCTTCTTCAGACATTTTGCTGTTATTCTCAAGTTAATTAATGTATTTTCTGTTTCGTTTGCAACTCAGAGTAAGCACACTCAACACAGGCCTCTGCAGAATCTCAGTTGGTAATTGCTACTTTGACAGTGAACTACCAACTACTGTGTGTGGCTATCTAACCAGCTGTATTACTGTACTATATTACTGTATTAGTGCATACTACTGTTTGTTTCATGTAGACCAACCCTTTGTATGTTGCAGGCAGGAATGTTAGGCAAGGCTATGTCTGAAACTTGAGGATTTACAGTTCTTCTACACCAAGCCTGTTACCTGTCCCAGAGAGGAAGTAGACACATCTGTCAAAAACAGGTCATAGGAAAAAGACAACAGTTGTTTCATTTGTCCTTGCTAATTAACGTACTTGCGTAAAGGTTATTTGTTCCAATATCTTCACAGGAGTTGGAAAAATTTGAATGAGTTCTCCAGTTCTTTCACAGGACACTGTTTGCTTTTTCTCAGCCTGTCTTAGAAACAAGATAAAGTTCCCTCAGTTTCAAATACAATTGCTAATAATGTTGAGATTGGTTCTTAAGAGAATGGCTGTCACACTGGGACATTTCAAAAGATTCAGCCAGCTTGAACATTTTAGCATATCAAAATACCATCAATCCATTCATATTCCTATACTAGCTCTTTTGGTGCCTGTGTTATCAGTTGACTTTTTAAGTTAAAAGAAAAGAGGACTTTTTTTTTCCTAGGATGAAATCCTTGGAGAAGCAGTAGCCACATCTATGATGAACAGCTTTATTTTTCATTATTAAACACATGTGAAATTGTTAAAGCTTAAGTTTAAACTCTTCATCATAATATTAACATCCTCAGTGGTTTCAGTGCTAATGTATGCAGAAAAAGTAACCAATTAAAATAAGAACATTGTTAATTAAAATAGAGCAAAGCAATTAGACCTTTGATTAGTAAACAAAACAGGTACCAAGAGACATAATAACTAACTTCCCATCTTCTATTCTCAGCAGACCTTTTTCTTCATCTCTCAACCAGATCTGGCACAGAAATTATACAGATTGTTCTAATTCAAACCTTAGTTTGTTTTTATTTCTCTTTTTTTTTTAAAACATTATTATGTGGAACTGCAAAGACAACAACAGTTACAGCTGTTGCTCCTTTTAGCAAATGCAAATTGTGTTGATTTTTGAATCAAATCAACCACTGGAACTAGTTGAAAAATGAAGCTTACAGAGGTCCAAAAATACTGGAGTGACTTGCAGTAAAACCACTGGGGCTTCATGCTTCACATTATGCATCCTTCATAATTTTACTGACATGAGTTTTCACATTTGAAAAGTACTTTCTTAACTCAAAAGAATTTTTTTATTTAGATATCCAACTGGGATCTGAGTGAGGAAAGTTTCTTTCCTACTGTCAAGAGGTAAGGAATGGAGAGGGCCCCAAGCAGGGTATCACAAATTCTGGGGATACAGGCAGTTTCCAGGATACTACTTCTGAAGTAGGAGATCAGAAAGTGAGTATCCCTCACTCCTGCTGGAAAAGTGCCCTGGGTAGCTACGTGCATTAAAAGGAAGTTGCAGCTGCTCTGTGCCTCATGTTTTAAAGGTGAGTGTGACTGTGCCTTGTTTGTGTGAGAACAAGCTCATGAAAAGGTGGATCATCTGTGGAGGTAGATCTTTCCCTGGGCCTTGGGCTGCAGGGAAGCTGTGTAAACTTTAAAGAGAAAAGATCTAGCAAATATGCTGTACTGAGAATTTCCTAGGGGAAAATACTGTATTCTGCCCTCAAACTGGTTGAGGGCCTAGGATAACTAACTAAAAGTAAGTGGCATACAATTTAATATGAGTTGTTAGTAATTAGTTAACAGGCAGTGATTCTATGATTAAACATTTCTATATTTTTTAGTGCTCAGATAATCAAGTTTTTGATATTTGATGTTTATGTGAACATTTACATAGATTTAATATGTAAACTGGTATTTAACAATTATAACCATACCAGAAAAAAAATAATGAAATTTAATTTAGAAATAATATATGTACTAGTTTACAGCACTTCAGTGTGGGGAAAGTTCAGTGTATGCTGCTCAGTTAAAATGCATGTCTTGGCTAGAGTTCATGCAGGGTTAAGGCAGTTACAGTTAGAGGAGAAGGTAAATACTGAAGAAAGAATATTTATATTCAATTTATGCCTAAATCATATACATATAAAATACAAAATCTGGAGGTGTTTCTGTTTTCAAGAAAACCCCCGTGTGAGTGCTTAGTTGTCAATATGTATGCTATGTACTACTGGGGATTCTTTCTTTTTAGTAGGTTGCCATAGCAATGCAGTTTTCACAACTGTACATGTTAAATGAGCTCCAGTTAAAAATAATAATAACAAAAAATTCTAGTGAAAAGGGTCAATACATAATCCCTCTGTCCCTCTAATCTCTTCCTGCAATGTAGTCTAAGAAATAAGGAAGACAGAAAAAGCAATCACACTTGTTTCTGATTCCCTGCAGAAGCTGTATTTCTGTTGCCAGAATGGTCCCTTAGTGAATGGAATTCTGAGCTTCAACATCAGTTTCTTAATGCTTTATGATGTTAATGAAATTTACTATAACGTATGGTTGCCTGATACCTCGTATGATGGGTTTTGTTTGTTTTTCAAAATGAATAGTAGGTGTGCTAGGAAGGAAAACATCCAAGTAATACTGAAACGTTAATGAGGAGTAATCATCCTGTTGTCAGAATGTGCTAGCAAGAGACTCATTGTTTTGGGCACGTTTAACTCTTCTCATCCTGAACTCTCTAATTCTTCAGACTGGCCAGATGAGCATTTATTGAACTGTGTCTGTTTTAGTCTCCATTGTATTATAAACTCTGTTTGGACATATATGGTACTAAAATATACCTCTCCATTCTGCAGCTACTGCAGGGCTTGACTGCTAGCACAGCTGCTTTAAAATCTTTGCATAGCTGTTCTTCATGAAATGCTGGCATCCCCTTTTATGTCTATAGTAAAATACAGAGCTCCTGGTAACAAATGGGAGGTTCTTCAGAGGAAAGCTGAGTTTGTCTTTGAGCCCTGTTGTGGATCATAATGGTTCTTCTTGTTAGAGTCAGATATCCAGGTGCTGAAATTAGTATGAATAATTCTTGGCAAAAAGCTCTGTTATGTTTGAAGGATTAAGGACATTGTGATGTGAATCTATATTCAAATGGCTTTGCACAGAGAAACAAACACCTGTAGAAAAGAGGCTGACAAACAGGACATTTAAATAGTGTTTATTTTCTTCTCTCTTTTAAAGAAAATTATTCAAACAGTTTTATTTTTCTAATAATCTAATTGCTACAGATCTGTAGTTTGGATAAATCACAGTAAGTTCACTGACTTTAGTACAATTGTGCCTAAGTAAAGCCTCTGAGGCTTTAGTTTATACTGCATACCTACTTCAACTGATAGTGTATATTATCTTAATTATGTTTCATCTTGTATCTTTCAATCTATTAGATTAATTCTTATCATTTGCTTATCAGGTGCTATCAGTGGTTCAATTTAATAAATCAATACTTTTAAAGAAGCCTCTGTTTGTTTAGAATATATAGTTAATTGCTTTTAAAACATTAGGCTGTAATTCTAAAGCTAAGAGCAACATCTTTTTAGATCATCTACAGTCCTGATTCACAGATATTTATGGAAAACAAACTTAATAAAATAGGAATGCTGTAGTTCATTGCCAGGTTTTATTGCTAAAAATGGAAGTAATACAGAATGTCTTGTTTGTGGATTTCAGCTATTAACTATTAAATTAGTAATGCAGTAGCTGAAGAATCAGTAACAGATGTAAACATAGGTTCACCAATGCTTGGAAAACTGGGAATACTGTTAACAGAAAGGAAGTTGATGTTAAAACACCTGGCATCAAATTGTTCCTTACTTGAGAAAAAGAAAAAAGGTGTATGTGGTGGATGGAGCACATTCCCTACAATCATCTGGGTGAAAACGGCTAAAAGGCACTTGTTCTGACAGGGGCTTTATATCTGTGACAGTCTGTTAACTTGGGCAGAACTTAGAAGGCTGGAAAAAAAGACTGAGAGAAAACAAGATATTTTGGATGCAAGAGCA